CACTTAGGAGCTGAGGGAATGGGGTCACGCCCTTAGGGCTTCAGCAACCGCCCCCCCCTCCCCCACCACTGCATGTGAGGACAAGAAAACAGCCGTCTATGAGCCAGGAAGCAGGTTCTCGCCAGCTGCTGGTACCTTGATCTTGGACTTCCAGCAGCCCAAGCGGAGGAGACACCAGGTGTAGGGACATCCGGGCAGAACCTGGGGGAGGAAGGTGAGGACCGGAGACCTACGGTTCAGGCAGGGGCATGCGGAGGAGGGCTGCTTCATGGACTAAGGAGCCCATTGTGAAGGCCACGGACCCTCTACAACCATGCGCTTCCCCTCCCTGTTCCCGCTGGCCCCTCACACACCTGTGAGAAGAGGCACTGGCTGCCCAGACACTAACGGTGCTAGAGGCAGTGCGTCCAGGTGTGGGCGTGAGCTCCAGGGCTGGTCTAGGTGGCAAAGGCCAGGGGGGGCGGGGGGGAGCAGCAGCAGCTGCTGTTGGGTCGCTGCCAGCTTCCAGAGGTTGGCGCCACACCAGACACCTCACCTCACGCCCATGACGGGACTATGAGGAGAGGAACATTATTGTCTCTCTCTTTTTATTTTATATTCTCACCCAAGGATATTTTTTCAACTGATTATTTTTTTATTATTATTTTTTTATATTTTATTGATTTTCTACAGAGAGGAAGGGAGAGAGACAGAGAGCTAGAAACATCGATGAGAGAGAGACATCGATCAGCTGCCTCCTGCACATCTCCCACCGGGGACATGCCCGCAACCCAGGCACATGCCCCTGACCGGAATCGAACCTGGGACCCTTCAGTCCGCAGGCCGACGCTCCATCCACTGAGCCAAACCGGTTTCGGCGATTATTTTTTTTAGAAAGAGTGGAGGGAATGGGGGAGAGAGAAACATCAATGTGAGAGAGACATTGATTGGTCGCCTCCCACACGTGCCCTGGGTATCAATCTGCAACCGAGGTACATGCCCTTGACCAGGAGTTGAACCCGGGGCCCTCAGGCTGACGGCCAATGCTCTAACCATTGAGCACCGGCCAGAGTGTGTCTTTTTTTCCCAATGAATAAACTGAGTCACAGAGGACTTATGTAGCAAGATAGGTTATACATCTACATGAGTTTCCTAGGGCTGCCATGACACAGTGCCACAGATGGAGTGGCTTAGCCAACAGAAGCGTGTTGTCTTGTGGTTCTGGAGGCCAGGAGTTTGAGATCAAGGTGCGGCCGGGGCTGCTCCCTTCTGAGGGCTATGAGGGAGGATCTGCTCCAGCCTCTCTCCTGGCTTCCGGCGGTTCACGCTGTGGTGTCCCCAGGCTTCTGCCTTCATCTTCACGTGCTGCTTCGTGTGTGTGTGTGTGTGTATGTGTGTGCGTGTGTGTGTGTGTGTTTGTGTTTGTGTGTGGGGGTGTGTGTGTGTGTGTCCAAATTTCCCCTTTTTACAAGGACACCAGGCATTGGACTAGAGGCCACCCCACTCTGGCATGACCCTCACCTTAACTCTACCTCTACAACAGCCCTATTTCCAAATAAGTCACATTCTGAGGTGCAGGCCGATGGAGGGTAGGACTTCAACAGATGAATTTGTGTCTGTGGGGGACACCACAATTCCATTCATAACAATGTCTAATGAGTGGGTAGCTGGGACGCAAATGCTGTTTCTGCCACGTGGCTGAGCTCTGATGGCCTCATCCCCTGCCCCTACCAGGAGGGCCAAATCCAGTGCCGCCAGCGAGAATGCTCCAGCCTGTGCCCATACCCTGCCCGGCCCCTCCCGGGCACCTGCTGCCCCGTGTGCGATGGTGAGTCCGTGGGTGGAGCCTGGAGGGGCTCCAAAGCTGATTGCCGGCCCCGGCTTGGTCTCCCACGAAGGCCAGGACATGGGGCAGTGGGGGACCCCTGAGGAGGGTCTAAGGCACCCTCTCCCCAACAGGCTGTTTCCTAAACGGGCGGGAGTACCACAGCGGGGAGCCGGTGGGCTCCGGGGACCCCTGCTCACACTGCCGCTGTGCGGTGAGTGTGGCCGCCCCGCAGGGAGGGCCTGGCCCCCGGGCCTGCCTCTCCAATGCTGACCAGGCCCTGTTGTCAGAACGGGA